ACATCACCTAATCCTAAACAATTTTATCAACACCATATTCCTCACATTCCTCCTCCATCAAATACCACAGATCTCACCAGTTTACTTATATCTTTCCTCTCTGAATTTAGATCCTTGTTACTCCTTTGATATCCCTTCTCACCAATCTTGTATCACATTTTATCACTTCCCCAATAAATCCTTAAATGACTTCCAATAAACCTATATCCATTCTCCTTTGGAATGCGAATGGTGTTAGGAACCATACAGACGAACTATCTGCATTATTACTTGACAAGAACATTAACGTGGCACTAATTACTGAAACTCGACTAACCACTAAACAGCACTTCGAAATACCCCAATACATGACAAATCGTACTGACCACCCTGACGGAAGAGCATATGCCGGTACTGCTGTCATTGTACAGCAATCCCTCTCTCATCACCTACACACGATTTCCTACAGTCCATTGCCCTCCTAACCGATCCATATCCAATGCCTAATTCAGTTCTCTCCTCAATTCCTTAGGAAATCACTTCAACTTGGTTGCCGACTTAAATGCCAAGCACCAACAATGGGGTTCTAGAACCACGAATTCTCGTGGCTGTACCCTGCTGTCTGTACTCAATTCCCAACGGTTTCACCTCCTTTCCCCCAAATCTCCTACCTACTGGCTCACAGATCCTAACCGTAATCCTGATATTCTTGGTTTCTTTATCCACAGCGGCTTAAGTCCCCTCCATTGTTCCATTACACATATAAATGAACTTTCCTCTGACCATAGTCCTCTAATTCTTAATGTTTCACTTGAACCCGTTCCCAAACCTTCTCCACCGCCATTTAATCGATCTCAATATATCCTTAAAAACTTCCGATGGCCTATATAGTGCCGTAAATTCCTTTACTACCACAATCCAACAAGCCGCCTGGACTGCCTCCTTTCCAAAAGACTCCTCCAGAATTCCTAAAAAGACCATTCTACCCCAACACCTCCTTGATCTAATCCACACCAAACGCCGTACTAGATTACTGTGCAACGTACTCGACATCCTACCGACCGCAGCTCCTATGATTATTACTGTATTTATAAAATCAAAACTTCAATTAGCCACCTTCAGATCACAATACTTTAACTCCTACCTATCTTCCCTCTTTGTTCGTGATAATTCTCTTTGGAAAACCACAACGAAAATCCTAAACCTTCACCAAATTTCCCATCCATTCCCACGAGATGACGGCTCCTGGGCAGCATCTGACGAAGATAAAGCCGAAGAGTTCGCCAAACACCTCTCCGACACATTTATTCCCCATCCGGAATCCCATCCTGCCCACATCGTAACAGTAGAAGAATTCCTTACATCACCCATCCCACTTTCCTTGGCTGAAGTGAAATTTAAATTAAAAAAGCTAATCCTCCGTAAATCTCCTGGATATGATCTCCTTACCCTTCAGATCCTTCGACAACTTTCATCCAAAGCAGTCATATTCCTTACATATATCTACAATTGCATACTACGTACCACCCATTTTCCTCTGTTATGGAAACACTCCACCATTATCTTTTTTCCAAAACCAGGCAAACCTCCCAACAGCTTGACATCCTATATATCAATTAGCCTACTCCCAATCCTTTCAGAAGTCTTTGAAAAAATCCCCTTATAGAATCCCAAAATCTTTGTTCCCTTCAGTTTGGTTTTCGCTCAAAATATTCCACTGTTCACCAATGACTTCGAGTCGTGATCATATATCAGCAGCCCTAGAAAACAAGCAACACCGTTCGGATGCATTTCTGGACATAGCACAGACCTTTGACCGGGTATGGCACCTCAGGCTGCTCTATAAGCTTAAAATCCATCTCAATCAGTCCTTATACCTAATCCTTCGATCCTATCTCTCTGACCGCTCCTTTCGAGTACGCTGCGGAACGGCCTTTTCCGATATTTATCCAATTAAATCCGATGTTCCCCAGGGCAGCGTCTTGGGTCCCGTGCTTTACATCCTCTTTACCGCTAACGTCCCTGCTCATTCCGATACCTTCCTTGCAACATTTGATAATGACACCGCAATCCTATCATCCAACTCAGATCCTGAAATAGCATCCTTAAATCTACAAAGACACCTCTCTCTTGTTGAGCAGTGGTGTGATGAATGGCGCATTAAAGTGACTGAGTCGAAATGCAAACATATTACCTTTACTCTCCGACTACTAACTACCAGTACACTTTAATTCCATCCAGCTTCCTTACTCAGACACAGTCCGGTATCTTGGCTTTCTCTTAGACCGAAGACTGACATGGAACCCACATACAAGACTCAAAAGACAAGAACTCAACCGACGATATGGCCAGCTATATACTGAACAGAAAATCTCAACTTTCAATTGACAACAAACTACTGATCTACAAGACAATATTGAAACCTATTGGACAATATTGGACCTAAGGACTGGAACTGTGGGAGACAGCAAAATTTTCTAAAGCAAACGCCTCTATCTAATCTATCAAATCAAATTTTAATCAAATACATTCAATCCTTTCAGTCCAAAGTCCTTCGAACAATAGTTGATGCTCCGTTCTATGTAACCAACCAAACCCTACACTATGGACCTTAATATCCCATTTGTCCTAGATCTTATCCTCCAAAAATTTTCATATCAAATCTATTATATTTTCAAATTCCACCAAAACCTTACATACCATCCAATCGCACAATTCCTCTCAAGCACTACTCATCCCTACAATCCTCCTCGAAGGTTGAAGCGACAGTGGCCCAGAGATTGTTGTAAGAATATATTGGAGTTCTGGCAATGGCCAGATTCTCCACTCAAGCCATTGGAGAATCTACTCAAGCCATTGGAGAATCTACTCAAGCCATGTATGTCTGGTTATTTTGTCTCTGGTCAGCCTCCATTGGTAATACCATTGATAGGGCTGAGTGAAAGACGCTGGGATCTCCTAGAGTTCTGCCTTTCCCTCCACGAGTGTGGAGAAATGCTTGGCTCGGAGATCTTGAGTGACTGAATATTGTAAATTTTATTATTAAAACACTTTATTCAGAAATATTACAATTTGTCACAGTTAAGGACACTTATAATAGAGTTCAGAGATTGCATTCATACCGTATAAAATATTGTAAATATTGTATAAAAGCATGTAAAAGTATTTATTTTGTTAGATTAGTTTATTTTTGTTTAGTTTAGTATCTTTTAGTTTAAAATTTACTTTAGTATTGTTATATTGCTGTTTAGTATTTTTACTTATTGTGCATAGTATGAATGAGCTACTCTATATCACTATTACTATTGTCCTTGAATGTGACAGATAGTAATATATGTCAATAAAAAAGTTAAAAAAGAAATTGTTTTTATTTTCTCTGAGTATTGTCTTTATGTTTTTAAATCTTGTATATATATTTTTCTGCTCTTTTATTACAATATAATAAAGATTGTAAACAATTAAAAAGGGTGATTTTTTAAATTTTCCATTTTTGATTTATTGAATATTTCTATTTTATAATATTTTCATGTGCATGTTTTTTTTTTTTCTTTTACAGATCTCATATTCACCCATTTTTCCCCCCTTCTTTCCCACCATTTAATTTTGCTCAAATTTTCCCCACCTTTGAGGTAACTCACCGGGGAGTGGTTTGTATTTTAATTTTGAAATACCCCAACAGAATGACTAATCAATTTCAACATTCTTTATTATTAATTTTAGTGATGTTTCTAGTGGCAAAATTATACCTTTATTCAAGTCTATATTTGAACACTGCAATCAGCTACTCTGGAATCAACTCACTCACTGTCTGTATAGATAACTTTTTCAACTAGAAATATCACTAAAATGACATTACTCAAAAATGTTGAAATTGGAGTTGGTTATTCCGTCAACTGAAAGCCTTAGAGACTGAAGTTGTGTGGTTTATAAAAGCAGATGGAGTAACGAGATTTTTATTGCCAACTGTCTATAGACTTTTTGTAATTTCAATGATCTTAATGATTAGTTATATGTAAGTTTTAAGCTTTAGCTCTGTTTCAAATGCACTTCAAAAATTTTATAGTAGCCCAGCATTGCCAGAAAATAATTTCTATTCAAAGTAGAGCGGTAAGTGAAAGTTGTATGTTACGCACACCAGATTTTTATAAAAGCATTTACCTGGAGCAACTGTATTACTGGAGTGGTAATGTAATGTAGTTGCTCCACTTATTGCATGTAGAATGGAGGATGGCTCCATGACCACGGAAAAGGACGAAATACTGGCGTGTTGGTTCCGTCACTTTAACAATTTGCTTAGTGAAATCGTGAGAGATAACTGGTAGTAATGAAGATAAAGAAATTCCCGATATACCAAGTTATGATGATATGGTGGATGCTTTGAACAAGCTTAATAACAACAAATTTCCAGATGAGGACGGAATTCTAGCCGACTTCCTGAAGTATGCTGATGAGGAGTTCTTGAGAGCCCTCTAGGATGTGAACTAACCCTGAAAAAGGCCAGTATTCCAGAAGTCAGTTATTCAGTAAATGTACTAGTTAGTTTAGACCCAATTAATTAAAGTTCAAGATTTGAAAATTGTAAATCACCTATAGTTAGATCCACTATTGAAAACGAATCAAGAAGCTAAAGAACGTTACCGTAATTTATCTTTAGTTTTTTATTTATAAAATTTGGTTTTAATTAAAATTTAATAATTAATGTATCAATGTCGATTATTGGAACCTAAAACAGCCTACAAACAAGTTAAGCCCTCAGAGTCCACATAAATTATTAATTAAATATAACTTACTACAAATAATTAATCATTATTATTTACTTATTTTTTAAAAATATCACAATCACATATATTTACTTATTAATTTTTATATCATTAATAAAATTTTTCATATAATATAAACATTCATAATTTACATATTGCATGTTGTGATATCATTTTCTCATGATTGTTTGATATTTTTCATCATACATTTTATAAACATTGTTCAGTTTATGAGCATACATCTTTTCAAAAAATATTTAGGGTTTTGTGAAGCCTGTGGTTTATAACTTGGCTGCTCGATGGTTGCCAACTGAAGAGATGCTTCTATTGGGACCCGCAATAATATGTGGTAAGTAAATAAAATTTTATTCAAGCCAGAAATGAAAATTAATATTATTATATTGACATTGTATTATCATTAACTATTTCCGCCCAGCAGTCGAAATTATTGACCATTTGAGGAAAATAAATGAATTTGCATGTCTCCAACATTTTTTTTACTATTATATGTATATATATATATATATATATATATATATATATATATATATATATATATATATATATATATATATATATATATATATATATATATATATGTATGTATGTATTCGTACATTCATTTTTATATGTACTTACAAAAGAAAACAGTGCAGTACCATTTGGTGACTTTTTGAGTTATTGGCAAACAATATGTTAATCCATTTGACTTTTTTCAAAAAAAATATTTGGAACAACTTTCCTCATACAACAAAAAAATTTTATTTTTCAATTACTAATAAAATTTGTATTTGAGAGTTTTTCCAGCTGCGAAATACCAATCTGAATTTTGATTCTCTTTCAAAAAATATTTGAAACTGCTTTACTCCTTCAATTGGCACAAATTGTTTCATTTCAATATTTCACTAATATCATAGCTATATTTCAAACAAAAATTAATCATAAAGAGTTTTCTCAAAAAATAAAAATGCAACAAAATATCTTATTGGAGATGATTCTTTTTAATTTTTTTTTTTTATTTCTTTATGACATTTACAACTGTATTACATAAATACATCAAGTAAATTTGGACATAATTAATATAATGACATGAATACACTTGCTGAGTAACTACCCAATGGTAGCACTCTAATGATATGACTACATTAGGAGATCACGGGGCCATCTTCTTTTCAGACGCCTCGGAGGATTATCAGGAATTGAAGAGGAAGCAAGGCTAGAAACCAGAGGGTTGGGATGATTCTGAAGTTTATTATGGAAGGATAGGTATCTGGATTGGGCCAGATCTGAAACATAAGGAACATTAAGATCTTTATGGATAATTTTATTAGTGACAAAGTAAGGAGCATTGAGGATTTTACGAAGGATTTTGGATTGTAAGGATTGGATGCGAGAGGAATTCGATGGTTTAGTGGAGCCCCATAGCTCAACTCCGTAAGTCCAAATAGGTCTTATTATAGTCAAGTATATGAGTCTTTTGTAATTAATGGGAAGTTTAGAGCGTTTGTCTAGTAAGTGCTGAAGTAATTGGAAACGTCGAGCGGTTTCTTGTCCTTTCAGTCTAGTATGAGGATTCCAAGTTAGTCGTTTGTCCAGGTGGAGTCCTAGGTATCGGATTTGCTCAACAGGGATAAGTGGAGTATTGTTAAAGGAAACTGTAGGACAGGAAGTCGTTGGTTTACGACGATTTTTTACATTTAGTAGGAAATTTAGGAAGCTTACAAAAATCCATAGGTTTAAAACACTATATTTCTACACTAAATCAACCAATTTTGAATTTTTTTTTTTTTCATTTTGTAGGGGATTCAGGAATCTATTAAATAAATATGGTGGGTGTCACCAACAGAACTTTTTGTTCTTTTTGAGTTATTGGCCAATATAAAATTCTGAATCCATCGTAACAATTAATGCAGCTTGTTTTTAGGAAATTGTGTTATATATATATAAATTATAAAGGCATCAAGGAGAAGACTTTAAGCACAGATTCATTGAAATCGTTATAACCATTTTGGCGCAACAGTTTTAAGCGAATCAAGGTTTTTGGGCGTCATTTAGAAATGAATGGCCAGATGACCCAGACTGTTTTCGAACTGGTGTCACTAGACTCGAGAATGTTAAAGTTTACGCTTTAACATGCTCTGCCCTCATGACCTATCCATTCCCAATGCTGTCACTTCATTAGTCTTGGCACTTCATCTAATAAAAATATTCTAGTTCTGGAGAAATTTGACTCACAAGATTTAAAGTTTCCCATTTTACTATATATTATAGGTGTTAAACGTTTTTATCATTAGAGGCCACAGGGAGGTTAGGCAGTGTTAAAGGAAGCCTCAATAATTCTTTATATTTTTCTGTTGCTATTTTTATTTATCACTAAATACACACACCTACATACATACATTCAATTTAATTATGTTAATTTCCAAATTTTTGTTACTTAAATCATTAAATCTTAAATAATTTTAGCACTAGATTTTTAAATATAGTGAAAAAACGTTTGGAGGTCACAACTATTTCCCAAAGTCGCATTCCAAGACTGCGGTTCCCAACCTATTCTATGTTTATTTATCAAATAGATAAATTTATTAATACAAATTTTTTATAGGACTGTACACAGGAGTGTGTTTCATGCTAATGATGGGAGGGTACTTGGGGGCTGGTCATGGCGGGTGGCATTCCATATTCTATTTCTCAGGCAACTGTGGCCTGCTCTGGAGCTTAGCATTCTATGGGCTAGGCTTTGCGTCTCCTAATGATTGTTACTATATATCAGAACTGGAGAAGAATCACATTAATGACAATGTTCCTCCGTCTATTCTTGCACCTTATGTAAGAATATATTATTATTTATATTGAAGAGAAGTTTATTGGCGTATTCAGTCAAACAAGTAACAAAGTAAAAATAAATAAATTATATTTACTTTTATTTTGGTCGACTTTTCGGCCCAAGATTCAGGGCTAAGAAAAGACAAGATAACATAGATATAAGAACCTAGTAGAAGGTAAAAGTAATGATATGTAGATAAGTCTAATAACATATAGTTAAAATAAACTTAACATTAATAAATAATTAAGGTTTATTAACATTTGTAAATATTTAATATACACAGCCCAACAACAATCCTTAGTTCATCCCCTAAGCAGCTATTTTTTCTTTGTTTCACCTGAAGAGCAGCAATTTGTTTTTCCTGAACTAGTGAAATCAATTCAAATTCAAAAATCTCTTGATATTAGCAGAATTACCTTGCTTAAAATTTACTAACCATTTTTAAGACTTCCAAAAAAAGTGTATATTACATTCCTCCCCACAACCTTGTAAAAAAAAAATATTTTGAGTAAATATATATATATTTTTAATTATGTTTAGGTGAAACCTGAAACATTCGCACATCACTCATTCAATACAAAATACAATTTTTTAAAACATTGCCTCTGAGTTATCTTATACTGCCTAACTTTTATCTTTTTGTTCTAGATTCTTTTCTTAAAGAATTATTCACATGGTATAATGTCACATACAACATAAATTATAGTAACATATGAATGCTAAAATCAAATTGAATATCATACTATAATTTACACTACATATAAAGTACACACAGTAATTACATAAATTATTCATATAATCTATGAACAGAAAAGTAAGTACAGCAGATTGATATATATGTAATAAAATAAGCAATACATTATTTACAAATAAAATTACAGTATAATTTCCATATCTTATGTACAATTAACTTTTAAAAAAAACTGTTTAAATTATTTACATAACATTCTAAAATATATAACATTTATTATAGAAATAAACAAAGAGCACACATTTCCATTTTAAAATATAGAGAATTAGATATAGCTATACTAAGTTAAACTTCATGAAAGAGCTTTAAAAAGCTGGTGTAAAACAAACCCCTTGTATTGCCATTATTCGGATCAGCTATCAAAAATGATTCATTCCAGCTTATTTATTATTTCATAGAGTCCTTTGAAAAGCGGTAGGAGTTTGGTATTAATCACTCATGACGTGGGTATCATTAAGGCCTTCACCAGCAAATTATCTCCAATTTTGAAACATGTGAATTTATTGTCTTTATTTTATTTTAATTTATTTTTATCCTTAAACTTCTGTATTTTAAATAAATTTTGCATTTGATGATGATCTAAATTCAACTGTGGCTGCTAGCCTTTCATTGTTTTTACAATATTGCTTAAACAAATGAAAACAAGTTCTTCCCTCCTATAACACTCCATTTTTACTCACTGTAAATAGCAGATTTTAAAATGACAAAGAAAATGAAATAAAAAGAAGAAAGAACTTTGTTTTATATTTCATTTAAATCTTGCGTTAATATTGAGCTACCCTTTATTTACACCTTGTATATGAATTATAATTTTAAAAATAGAACTGTGTTTAAGTATTTAGTTAGATCACACACAGTAAAAAATATGTACCAATAAAAAAGATTTCCATTTTCCAGCTTTCGGGCTGAAGCAAAATATTTACCTAAGAAATCAAACCAAAATTTATGTTAAATTTAAATAAGCCTAAATTATTCATTATTAATATAGATTATTTATTTCAAAAACTATATCCTTTTAGAGACACAACATACCATGGAGGAAGATTTTTAGTAACATTCCACTATGGACAGTTCTGGTTTGCCAATTTGCGAATAACTGGTCATTTAATGTTTTTGTTAAGATATGGCCAGTATACTTACAGCACAAACTTCATTTTGAACTTCACGAAGTAATTTTGTTTTTAATTATTGAAATACTTAAGTGTAAAAATGTTGCAAATTTATCCATATATATTTAAAAAAATAATTTTTAATACATAATTCAATTTTTTAAATAATAAATTATAATTAAGATAAATGATACATTGTAAATGATACATGATGAAAGTGACATAAATTCAGATAATACAATATAGGAGCAAATAAATTATTAAACATAGTAGTGCAAAATAAAGATGAAATGAAAATAACTTTATTATTCTGTGACTTTTGGTACATTTGGTATGGTTATAAACAAGACTTGAATAAAATTAGTTTTTTGAAGTGATGCTTAAGTTTTTATAACTAAAGAAGAGAGAAGAGATCAACTTGACTCACATTGCTCAAAAATGATCATTGTTGGTTATTGTGATAATGGTTATAAGACTATGGAATCCAAAGACCTAAGAAGGTGGTCTGTGCCTGAAATGTAGAATACTTTGATGAACGTTTCAATGAGTAATATTGCTTTGATTTCAGAAGTACGAAATATCGTGGACTGTGAAGAACCTGAACTAATTTGTGGAAATCAACTGCAGAAAATCATCAGAAGAGCTGATGGGCAATGATGTTGAAGAGCAACATGTCAAGAGACATAAGACATGCTACAAGCAAACAAGTCTGGCGAAGAGCAATGAAAAACGAACATCAATTCTTGATCAAAAATAAAACTTGGGAAATAGTTGATCTTCCTCCTCATAGTGAGGTTGTCGACTCAAGATTGGTATATCAAGAAAAAGATGTTGATCGACAAATTGTTAAGAAGGTGAGACTTGTCTCCCAGGGCTATCAACAATCGTCTGCTTAAGATGAAGAAACGTATGCACTAATAGCCAGGATGGCTACTCCTGGGATACTTCTCCCTATTGCAGCTGAAAAAGATCTACATCTACTAAAATTTGATGTGTTCTAGTGGAGCCTGTGTATATGAAGTTACCGTAAAGAATTGAATTATGTTTTCCAATAATGATAGTGTTTCCAATAATGATCATGCTCCTCAAAAGACTAAAAAAATGTGTAAACTTGTTAAAGCTCTTGAGGCAGAATACTAAAGCTGTGATATGTGATGATCATATCAATTCGATATTTTTTAGTTTAGGTTTAGTAAGATCAAAATCGTATTCTTGACTCTTATTTCAGTCATTCAGCGTTTATTTTAATTTGGGCTCATGTTAAATTGAAATAAATTGATACTCAAGAGCAAATTACTATCTTATGGACAAACTATTATGTTACCCTAAATTTGAGTATTTTTGTAATTATTATAAGTATTTTTGTGAAAAACTTAAACTTGTTGAGTGATATTGGCAGAATTGGAATGGGTGTTGTTGCAATTCCTTAATATTGATAAAGCCTATTTGGCAAGCATTGGTAGTTACACTTTTCTTCCTGTAGATTGTTTTTGGCCTAATGATCCCATTCTGCCTTTACTAGCAATGTGATTTTTTTTTTAGTGAAATTTCAAAACTAATCTGCTTTTCAGTTAACTATTCAACATGTTTACTCCCTTAACTTAATACTGTACCTTATTGAACCCACCTAGATCACAGACTCCTGACTGGGTCTCATCATCATTCAGACAAACTAACTAAATACCTAATAGTTTTACTAATAATAGAATTGTTAGTAATATTAGATACTGTATATTTTTTAGTATACAAATTATTTTACCTCATAATAATTGAGAAAAATAGAACTCATTTCATTAATGTGAATAAACTATTAAGTGATTAATAAACCTTTACAATTTGTCAACTTACATATATTTTCTAGACAGGTATAATTTGTGGAACCCCATTTTTATTTGTAAGCATTACTGTTTATGCTGCAACTATATTATTCCATTATTTATGGAACTATGGAAAGCTGAACTTCGTTGTAGTGAGACATGTTTGCAATGCAATAGGTATGAATATTTATAAACTTTTATTTTTTACACTCTTTTTTTATACAGAACAAATAACGGTGGTTAGCAAATAATTTGTCTATCAAAGTAATTTAGTAGCAATAATGAAAAAAATTACAAAGAATAATATTTTAAAAAAAATAGAACTCTCTTATTAGCTGTTGAGAATTCCAGTGAGGGAAAATAAAACTTTTGATGTGAACTTATAAAAAAATGTCTTATGTTCAATATACAAATATTGTTTTAGTATTGATATTAATTATTAATTTGATATTTAGGTATATATTTATATTCATATTTGGTCTTTAATAACCATAGGTAGTCAGTACTTAGGTAGATTTATAATAAATAGATGAGCTGAAAATAGAAATTCGCCCACACTCAGCAAACAGTTTAATGCAAGATAGGGATGATATATCGAAGACCCAATACAATATTGTCATCGATATTAATATCGGCCTATAACTATCATTACCATCAAAATATCGGACTTGAAATAACAATAGTGGACATAAATATTGATTTTCTAGCACATAGGCTCATCAAATAATACCTCCCTAACTCCTCCAAAGAGTACTCAAAGAGGCAGGAGTTGGTGAAGAAAATTAGAGACATCACCGAAGGAACACTGGCGAAAACCAACACCCAAAACTGAGCAAGCGGGTCCGGGAGGACCTGGCACACAGCACAGCAAGCGTAAGAGTGCCAGTCCAATCAGAAGGCACCTCTCCCACCAGTCTTATTCCCACCACCTGAGCAATCCCCACCACTAGCAGAACATCTAGTCCACGGAACAGACACAAGCAACACAATTGACAAGCAACAGCCTTCAACAAGTACAGAAGCCTCCCGGATTTCTCTGGTGATGACAATGCTGACAAGAATGGACTAGCTGATGGTAGTTTCCCGCATGTTTGATGCTATGACAAACAAGCATCATGTTTGATCATCTCGTCATGAATTTTAACACCAGAGGCCTCTTCCATAAGCAGGTTGAAATCGATCATAGACCATGAGTTGTGGCGCTGACAGACACTATGCTTTACAGCTCGACTCGTCCATACTTCCAAGGAGTACACTGTACACCGGGAGGTGTGTGCACCAGAGTCTTGAGAGATAGTAGCCATCCTAGTCAGAAAGGATGTAACTTCAAGATCCGTCCCGAACCCATTGGTCCCAACCGAGGGAACTCACTTACAATTGATGTGCAACTTAAGAGTCGATTCAGGTTCAGCTGTGTCTATAGGAGAACCAGGGCTGGACTGACATCTGTTAAACTGCTGCTACAACATGCACAGGTGATAAGTCGGCATGTATTCCTTGGAGACTTCAATGCTCGGAATTCTTCCTGGATGTGTGGTAGCGACAATCCCTTGGGGAGGTAAATCACCAAGACAAGGTTGGCCTTCTTCCACCAAGGTGTACACACTTTCCGGCATTCAGCCCCGACCTGATTGGACATTAACGCTGGACATGTTATTAAGCAGGGATCTGCACACCATTTTTTTATAATCTAAGTATATTACAATTTCAAAGTAGCCTATGATTATGTGGATAGAAATTGTCTTTGGAAATCATGACTGAACTGGGAGTTCCCAGAAAGTTGGTGTAAGATTGAAAAAGGCATGTGCAAATGACTCTAAATGTCGAGTACTCATACAAGAAGGAGTATCTGAATGAAACCTTCAATGTTGAACTTGTTTGAGGCAGGGAAATGGACTCTCGTCCATACTATTCAACTTAGCTGGAAAATGTAGTAAGACTACCAATTGAAATTGGAGGGGTGCATGTCGGAATGAATCATAAAATCCTTAGATATGCATGTAATATTACTGTTCTCAGAAGCAATGAATAAGACATTGAGATATTTGCTAACACTGATATTGAGATATTGCTAAGAAGCAGAGCGGATCAGCCTACAAATAAATCATAAAACAAAATACATGATACTAAGGCAAAAATTGCACTAATATACCACATAACAAAGTACTAACACATGTAGAAGGACAAATGAAAGATCAAAAACCAGATGGATAGATTGAATCAACAAAGATGCTGGAGAGGAGCTGTATGCATATATCTGAAAAAAAAAAAAAAAAAAAAAAACTAGCCCATTATAGGTAGAGATGGAGAAGGCTGGTCAAGGCAACAAAAGATCAAGGTCTGAAAACCATAAAAAAATAAAATAAATAATAACAATAATAATTTACATTCCAGGAGAGAATAAAAAATGTTATTAATACACATTGGATGTGGGAGATCAGATCAACACATAGAAAAAACTGAATTGTAAGGCATAAAAATAGTGAATCATTATGGGATTTTAAAAAGATAGGTGATCAGATTATGAGATTGAAAATTTTATTAAGTAGATTAATAGGATATAAATAAAAGGAGGCAGGATCTTTCAGATCTGTGGTGTGCGCTAGCTCTTGAGAAAGAATGATATGAATCACTTCTGTTTAAAAATCTCAAAGGAGGTTAAAAAACTTATCATTGAATTTTTATTTTTGATTAATTTAATTATTCTTTTTCCAGCTCAATTCGGTGCTGCCTACAGTTTTATGGTTTGTTCATCCTCAGAGAAAATACTGGTGACTGTCATTTTTCATCACATTGGAGTACTAATAAGTTCATTACAGCTATTTGGATTCTACATGAATTACTATGACTTGTCACCTACTTATGTTGGACTGACATCAGGCATATGCAATGGAATAGCTAGCATAGCATCCATAGTTGGACCTCATGTTACGTTGGACATGTACAATCAATATGTTAGTTAATTGTATTAATAATATTATTAGCATTAATGATATTAAAAAAAACAAAACAATTTGTCAATGAATTATGAACATACCACTTGGTAAAACAAGCTAAAATCAATATATACGGTTATTAGAAAAAGGCAAAGTTAAATATTTGAGTGCAGTTTTATTTGCAAAGACAAATTTTTATAGTTTTTTACAGATTCTTTACCTTTTTCTTCAATTTGAATTCGCAGATTATTTAAATGCATCACCATTTAGTGAACTTTTATAAATATAAAAATAATTTTAGTTAATACAATTCAACTAGAAAATGTTCTATTGAAGAAAACTTGCTGGAGTAATGTGATCTATGTGGGCCTCCATTGTTAGCCACTGTATGATCATGTTTACATTATGAAATGGTTAGATAATGATGTGCAGTGAATGAATAAGGATGAACTACTAAAAGAGTAGTGGAAGTAAGAGTGGAAACAATGCAATCTAGTTATATGGCTGGAAAGAAGTGATGAGAAGTGAAGTGGATAACACCAGGCCATTCAGAATATCAATGGCCATTTCATCAAACTTTGTTGTTGCAGCAATTTATATAAATTTCCAATACTTTAAATATGTAAATATTAGTGGCATGTTTAAAGAAAAAAAAATTAGGCAATATGAGATTTCTTTAAAATGCGATATCAACAATACTTAGATTTTAAAAACAAAGCTAATCTTCTAATTTATATCTTACTTATTTATTAATTTTATTTTATTTTTTTTTGGGAGGTTTATGATTGAACATCTTTTCTTGAAGGTTCAATTAATCAATAAGTTAAAAATCTGGTGCAGGCAACACACAACTTTCACTTACTGCTCTACTTTGAATAGAAATCATTTTCTGGCAATGTTGGGCTCCTTTTTTTTTTTTTCAAACTTAAAAAAAATTTAAATGTTTACATTTAGTAAGAAAATTTCCTTGGAAGCATGTGATTTACGTTAAACAATGTTAGTTTTCTGAAATTATTATATATTACATTCGCTTACCTATATATGAAATATATAGTAAGGGAAAGTATTGCGATCGTGAAAATTTTCGAATTAGAGTTTTCAACGGAAATACAATTTTTAAGGTACCCTGACTCCAAATAACCAAGTCCTGCAAAATGGTCTGTGTGCCTGTGTGTATGTGAACAGTCTAGCTCAACAACGAAAATGCGTACGAAACTGATATTACGTATTTAAGATAGGTATATGCCTTAGAGGGGATGGGGTAGCTGTTGCTTGCAATAGGTATGTGCACCCGATGTTACAGCAACTTTTTCCTAGAAATCGGTTAACCGGAAGTAGCACTTCATATGAACGGTGATACACTTTTTTACTCATTATTTTCTCAAAAACGGCTCTAACGATATTGATTAAACTCGGTGTATCATTGTATAATTAATTGGCCTTTAATATCAATTAAGTCTTATCCCCATTGATGTCACTTTACAAGGCTAAAATCCCCAATGTTCATAGACGTTTGAAGTACCTTTAACATGGTTTATTTTAAGTAATTAAATATCTCACATTATTAAAAGTTACGAAAAAATGCTAAATATAACTTATGAAAAAAAAGAATTTGATAATTGAATAATAGAGAAAAAAAATAAAAATGCTTATCCAGGTCGAAAATGAATCACTGGAAATACTAGTCAGCAGTAAAAAATAAGTATAGTATATCGCTGAAAAACGGAGAATTCTAAAAGAAAAAAAAACAAAACAATATCTAATATAGAAAGTTGTAGAAGGTAACGGAGAATGGCGAAATAATTATAAATGATAATTTTTGAAAATTAAAATTATTTAACGTAAATCACATGTTTTCTGGAAATCAAATGAAATTTACTAACTGAATGTAAACTTTTAAAATATTTTTAAGTTTGAAAAAGTATTTGAAATCCACCTAATCAAGGTAATGACATTTAAAAAAAAAATACTTCATTGTACTTGTGTGAAAAAAGTGAAATATAAAACCATTTCATGGATGTTCAAAGGATATAGTCCGTGGTACAGACCCCTTTTTATCGAATTATTAACATCTGGCTGAAACTTCCTAAATAGCTTCTTCTCAACGTAACATAAAAATATTTTATTTACGAAAATTCTCCGAATTGGGGCGCTTTCAATCTGGAGGTCGACAAACTTTGTCTATTTAATTATGTACTAAAAACTCGTAAATACCCATTTGGTTTCAACTTGAATCTAAAGATAACTTGAGCACAAAGTCAAGAAAAAATGTGACGTTCAAAAATATTGAGCCGTTTTGCCTATGTAACCTCGTTATTTTGACAATTTGGGAATCTAGGTCATGCAGAACAGGCTACATGTTTCAGTCATAAGATAGTACAGGTCCAATAAGGGCTTTATAAATCCGTTTTTTTTTTTTTTAGGGCTTCAATTTAAGCTTGCTTTAGTGTAAAATAGCAGCGGTTTGCGGCAACTATTCTACTTTCGATTTCCTCACCAATGCCATTTATTTCATTCACCTGTGATCTAGAGGTATATGAACTCAATTGTTACCTGACTAGACCCTGTGGGATTCACATTGAGGTATTTGGTGAAGTGTATCAGTAGCTCCATTTTAGCTGCAGCATTCTCAATAGACTCTAATAACAAAAAAAAAAGTGGTAGCTGCATGGAAATATTTATTTTTAATTTAATAAAAGCAAAATCCTTCCACGCGATTTTTGAGTTCATAGTAAACTATTCTATTTACTCGTGAAATTTCTTATAGATTAAAACGTTTTATTAATGACCAAGTAAACATATTAAATCAGAGCAAGTTTCTTCAACTACTTGAAAATTCTTTTTAATATTAAATTTCGGGGTGAGTTAACTAATGATCAAAGTGGAGGGAGTAGGAACCATTCATTAACTCGAATTACCGACCGCCCTTACAATTTGGCTATATACTCGGTTATATACTTTCCTGCGATATCAATGTCATCAGCTTATCTGAGGAATTGGGCGAGATGATTTATTAAGGCACGAGGTGATCTTAGTATCTCTTATGACATTCTTGAGTACCAGGTTAAAAACCAGACACACCAGCCCATCTCTCTGGCATACTTCTATGTCTGTAGAGAATTCAGAGGACATCGCTCCAAAAATCCTTATGTACAAAGCATTACCTTCCATCGTTATCCTTGTGACGGGGCACAAGGTTTGGAGGAAAATTCATTTCAGTTATCGCTTTATATATTTCTGATCGTAAGCTTGTTTAAAAACGACAAATATGTAATACGTTGGCAATTTATATTCCTTCGTTTTTCATGAAGTATCCAGAGGATGAATATCTGGTCGATAGTTAATCGATCCTTGCGAAAGCCACAATGATACTTTCCAATTTCTCTTTCACCATAGACAGGATTTTATTAAAGAGGAAGACTTAGTAGGAGGGAAATTCTACGATAGTTGTCGCAAAAATAAGAACTACCCTTCTTGTGTATTGAGCAGTTGGCCGTTCTTTTCCACTCTTTCGCTAGTCTCATTGCTAACTTGATGCAGTAGTTGACCTAATACACTGTCATAGGCGGCCTTGAAGTCTGCATGTATGTAACAGGTCATGTATGGTGCTAAAAGAATTGGTCCACCATTGATTTTTTTATGGTAAAAATCTTCATAAATGATAGAAATTGTATTTATAGAACATTTAAAAACATTTTATATGTTAAAATAAATAGAGAAATACCTCTATAGTTCCAAAATCAAACTTCTTTCACGAGCTTGGCATTAATTCTGATATAGACATATATATGAGGCAATATTAAAAAAAGTAATACTCTGATTTGCTAAAAATGGTCCAGTTTCCAACAGAGTCAGTTTGTAAAATTAATCAAGTTTAAAATTTTTTATTCTTGAAACTTAATGAATTTGCCCACAGGGACAAGATGAAGAGGCATGGACTAAGGACAGGCAATTCATAGGTTGGCGAAAAGGTTATGATCTCTGTAGTTTGATTTTTTTCATAGGAGGCACAGCATTTATGTTCCTTGGGCAAGTTAAAAGACAAGAGTTTGATAACAATGAACAAAAAAAACAGGTCAAGAAAAACATAATTAGCTGGTCAACAAAACCATGAAATGGTATTTATGTTTATGCTTTATGTAGTATCTAGTACAAATTAAAATCTTAAATTTTCCTTCAACATTGTCTTTGCTTTAATTAATTTAAATAAATAAAATAACCATGTTGCGGTTGTAAATTATTTAATAGTTTAGTTGTAAATTAAGTATTGTTTCTGGCAGCACAACTATGTGTAAAAGGACAGGTAGGGTATGGGGAAAGGATATGGCATTATACGTAACCATTGTTGCTATTTGTAGGAGGATCCTTGTATTTGTACGAGGTTAGGACTTATGGTACGAGGTAGGAGGATCGACCAACTTCGTACCTCGTACATAATTTTTGCTGACGTATGATAAGCTATATTTTTATGAATGAATTTTAGATTTGTTTAATTGAGGAGCTGGATGAGGGACCTCCTCGCCTAATGTAGATATCACGCCGAGTGAGGTGCCGCTGGGCACTGATCCTCCTCATGACATTATATTTAGCAATCGATCTCACATTCACTGGTTGTCATTAGCATTATGACAGGTGTGAATAAAACATTAAAGCTAAAAAAAAAAAAAAAAAAAAAAAAAAAAAAAAAAAAAAAAAAAGATTTGTTTAACAATTATTTTTACTGTGTTATTATTTATATTAACATTATTATTATAATATTATTTATTTTAAAACAAATAAATTGCAATTATATCTTCTTTAATTAGAATATGATTATTATTTCCTTCATAAAACCATGATTGTATGTATAAATTGTTTTCTTTTAATTTTAAAGAAAATAAAATTAAAATAAAAAATGTTACCGTCATTATAAGAAAATAATTCGTTTTTTATTGAATATAAAATGAAATATATCCATTATATCCTTCATAAAGCTACGATTGTTGCATAATTAATTTAAATAGATTTAAGTAAGCAAAATAAAAATAAAAATTTAATTATATAAAATTACTATTTATTAGTTTCAATTATATTTTACCTAGTTTCGAACTTCAATAAAATCATAATAATGTATTTTCGCTTTATTTTTAATAATTATAGGAATATTTTATCCTTTATAAAGTTTATTCTTCTAATTTTATTTTTAAAGAAAGCTTATAATAGTTTCTAAAAATATATGCTCCTTCTTACATATTTAATTTCGTGCCTTTAATTAAACTCATTTTACTTCTTGGCTTTAATCTAGAAAAAAAAAGTGTGCCAAGTAAGGTCAGTATAGCTTCCTCATCGTTTTCATTGGCTAAAATATACCTATATCACAAGGTATACAATTTTTCGTATGAGAATAAAATCTCTGGGAGAAGCCGATTCGGAAATACAGTTACCCTTCATCATTCGCGGGTTTGATATCCACGAATTCCGTTTATCAGCTAATATTAAAATACATATTGATTATTCTTAATTTAAAAAAAAAATACCAATGCATACTGAACAGGCATATCACTACTGATTGTGCAAAAGGTTATTTGCTAGGGATATCACTACTGATTATTTTATTGTCCTCTGCTATTTTCTATAGTAGCAGAGTACTCATATCAGTTGCAGGCTACAAAATGTCACCTTTAGCACAAATAGAATAAAAGTTGAAATATTTTACATACGACCTTTTTCGCTAATAGCAGTGATATATACTTTTCACTCGTAAAATGGATGGAACTAAAAAATCCATAGGAAAAATTCAACTTGTTGTTCGTTCGGAGTTAACGAGACCAATACTTTTCTTCAGTCAGGACAAAACGCAATAAGCTAGAAAATATAAAAATATGGTTGAATTTCACACAACTTCGATAGTTAAGGAGGAAATCGAGACCAGGACGAACTTGTTAAACTTCAATGAAAATAAACACAATCACAAATAAGACTTTTTTTTTTTGCAAATTCAGAGTAAAAATTACTTTAAATTTGATGAAAATTACACGAAATCTAAGTAACGGCAATAAGTGTCATGCCAGTAACGTTTGGAATCGACCAAACAATACAGTATCAATTAATTTTTTTAATTAAAACCAAAATTTTGTAACTTCATAAAAATATTGTAATAACCTACCTCCTACTCCATATGATCAGTGCCTTTCACATTTCACTGCCGTTATATTGTTAACAATTATTTATATTAATTTTAATTATTAAATGGAATTCAGGGAAATTCATATTAGGAAATTTCTATACTATTCTCCAAATCTTCTCTAGGTTTGGGTCAAATTGAAAGCACAGTTTTCAAACCATAGGCTTGCCAAATAATACGTTTGCTGATCCGAATGCGGAAGTATTTTTTCTAGAAGTGGATAGAATTTGATAAAATTCATACCTACTTGATTATCTGTTTACCAATCTCTAGCCACTAGCGGATCCAGCCCGGGAGCTGGAAAAAAATTCCAAAAAACATCTATATGAAGAAAAGAATAATGTAGGGAAAATTCATTCTCATACACGAATTTCCTAATATAATAAAAAAAAACAGATTCTATGGTGACCAGCACTAGCGAATTCTGCCAGGGGGCGCCTCCTCTCATGGGTGGGGAAAAATTCCGAAAAAGTGACAAAAACATCCATCTGAAAAAAAGGAAAATTCATTCTCATACACGAATTTCCTAATATAAAAAAAAAAAACAAAAAAAACTGATTCTATGGTGACCAGCACTAGCGAATTCTACCAGGGGGAACGTCCTCCTTAGGTGGTGGGAAAAAATCCGGAAAAGGTGACAAAAACACCTATTTGAAGAAAGGCATAATGTAAGGAAAATTCATTCTCATACACGAATTTCCTAATGTAATAAAAAAACAAACAAAAAACAGATTCTATGGTGACCAGCACTAGCGAATTCTACCAGGGGGAACGTCCTCCTTAGATGGTGGAAAAAAATCCGGAAAAAGTGACAAAAACATCAATTTAAAGAAAAGAGAAATATAGGGAAAATTCTTTATCATTCAAGAATTTCCTAATGTAATAAAAAAATATATTATAATCGTGACCAGCACTAGCGGATTCAGCATGGAGACGCGCCTTCCCTTGGATATTGGAATTTTTTTTTTTTTTAAAACACCTATTTAAAGAAAAGGGAAATATAGGAAAAATTCATCCTCTGAGACAAATTTTCTGTGGTATAAAAAAAATTATTATCGTGACCAGCACTAGCAATTTCTGCCGGGAGGCGCCTTCCCCTCCGGATGGTATAAAAATAATTCCGAAAAAAGATATCTAAAAAACAGCTATTTAAAGAGAAAAGAAATATAGGAAAAATCATCCTCTAAGACGAATATTCTAATGTGATCAATATTATCATCCTGATCTCGAAACTGCATTACTGGATCTTGACTGCCTCAAGAGTTTTTCTTCATATTCCCTGTCCTGAGCAGCCTCCAGCAGTTCCTGATTCCATGGATTCTGGCATCAGTACTTATTCCATTTTCCTTCTCAGTTTCGGTCTGTTCAGTTTTCTTTATCTAACCAGCTCCATGCTCAGCAGCTTCTTTGGGATTGAGGTCTCGTCCATCCGTACAACTTGGCCCTTCGATCTCAGCATTACAATCGTGATATATTTCACCACATTCGGCTCCTTGTATAAGTTAGCTAGTTCTTGGTTGCATCTAAATCTCCATTCACCATTCTCCTTAACTGGGCCAAATATCCTCCGAAGGACCTTCCTTTCGAAAACTAATATTTTAAGCATCTGTTTAATGAAAAGAGAAATATAGGAAAAATTCATCCTCACAGACGAATTTTCTAATGTAATATATAAAAAAAAATATTATAGTGATAAGCACTAGGAAATTCTGCAAGGGGACAACCCTTCCCCTGGGTGGTAGACAAAAAATACCGAAAAAGTTCCAAAAAGCAGCTATTCAAAGAAAAGAGTGATGTAGTTTTTGTGCAGCAGTGAGATGCGAAGGGTTGTGCTCCTGTCGCAGTTTGGTTCTATTGACTCTGAACTGAAATACATCTCGCAGGTGAAATACATGATGGAGGAAAATCTGTTTTAAAAAATATGAACTTCATTTATTCTTTCAAACAACCTTTTATTCGAGAACAAAAAATACGAGTTTTCTCCCGGATCCAGTTTTTATTCAGTTCCAATAGATCTGTATGCATTACAACCTCAAGCAACTATAGTCTCCTTGAAGAATCCATGCGATTTAGCATTCTAATTACGTTAATAATTTGTACATTTCTCATTAGAAAGTGTTGTTCTTTTCTTAAAATAGCTGCTGTTAGAAATGTTTTCATGAGACGAGATAATAATTATTTGGTCTCCGATTTGATCAGAATTTGATTATGATTGTCGATATTGTAATTCCTGAGTGTTTGTTATCGTTTAGTGTAGTGTTATTTATTAATCTGGAAGGGACGTCATAACGCACCAGAAGTGCGACGCCGCCGTGTGGAGGGGAGTCTAGTCTGTATATATGGTACCCGAGAAAGTAAATGTGTTTGTTTGTTGATTTGTGTACCAGTCAGTGCGTTTCCAAGCTGTATTGTAATCTTTCTCAGATTTTGACCATGTCGGTAAAAAATAAGGCTCATTGGCCGTGGTTATCGATCATATTACTTAATCAAATTATTAAGTTTAGGTACTCGTTCGGCGCACAATTTGAAGTTCATTAGTTTCTCAAAGAATACTTTTTCGCTTTGATGCACTGTTTAGTAGCAATACATAAAAAAAAAAAAAGATCAGATAAATCTATATTTTTTGGCTGCGAATGTTTTTTGGTGACCTGTGTCAGCAATCCAGTTTTTTATATGTCTAAACGCATATGCAGGGTGTCTCGTAAGTAGAGGGAAATATTTAAATGGAATTTGATAAAATTAATATGGGACCATCTGGGCACCAATACGCATAATCTCTGAAAATTTCATGAAACTCGGATAAATGTTACTAGGTGATATGCCCGCCATATCGATTTGACTACAGACAGACAGACACCGAACCAAATTTGATCCTTGATGTCTGAAACGTAAAACACGAGTGCAAATTTTCGATTCTAAGCCCAAATTTTTTTTTTAACCTCTCGCACGAATACAATGCTTCCCTACCTTCGGCAGTGAGGAAGCAAAATGTAAAAAAGGCTTTAAAATATATGAAT